TGCTGACAGCTCATGGGAGCGCTTTTCAAGCAAAGCAGGGCGGTTGTGAAGCCCTTTCATGGTGTTTTTAGTCACGCTGAGGTATTTTGTGAGTGATGTTTGCTTTTTCGTCTTTCTTGCTCGCTTAAAAGGGGAAAACGGAATATTCAGGAAGAAGCGTTCAACAGCAGTGACTTCACTTTGGAGAACCTGATAACATTGCTTGTAGGTTGACAACCACACATCATTTGATTGCTCTGCTGAGCACGGGCTTGAAGGTCACTCACTGTTTTTTTTCTTTGTTTTAATTTGACATGCATCAGGCCACTGCTTATGAACCACCAAAAAAGTGGCACTTGAGAAAGGACTTATAGCAAGAATAAGATAGATACAAACAAGAGAGATCAAGGATTGGCTTTCAGCCGGATGAGATGAGGCACAAAGGTGGGCGTGGGCAACGAACTTGAAGGGCCTTGAGAACCCCAGCTGGAGGGGACCCCCCCCCCTTAGTGAAGATCTTGAGCGGGGTGTCACAATGGCACAAAATATAGCTCTGCTGGTCTTTGGAGAGTTGACTGTAATGGAAAATTAATATGGCTAAGGTACAGTGTGACTATAAATGCAATAGCTATTCCTAAATTACTCATGTGTGAACATTATTATCCTGAAATAAGACGCTTGTTCTTATTTAATTTAAGCCCATTTACATCCACTTAAGACTTGTCTGTATGAGGAGATTGATCAGAATAGTGACTGCAGCATAAATTATTCTGCAGGGGCTAGTCCAGAATAGCTGTTAATGTCAGTGCTGATGTAGAGATTTGATCTGGTACTTTGCTTTCTGACCTCAGTTCTTTCATAAATTCTCTGTGTAGACAAGTCCCTCACTGTGTGACACTTCCTGAGCAGGATTAGGAGCTGCTAGGAGAGAATGTTGTCTCCTACAGTAAAGAAGGATCATTTCGCCCTTGTCTTAGGCTTGAAAAATGGGTTTCAAGGAGATTTTCATGACCAGCATTTTTAATCTAAAGAGTTCAGATGCGCTTTCTGGCTAGGCGGGCTGCAAAGGACGAGCTCTGAGCCGCACCAGTACCTGAACCACTTTATACCTGGGGGCATAATATTTTTTCTGATTTAAAATGATTTTTGAGTGGTTTTAGCTGTCGCTCTAAAAAGCGAGAATAAGTATCAGTGTAGTTTGGGGAAGTGCAGGTTTTTGTGTGTATTTATTGTAAATTAAATGGGAGAGGCAACGGTTCATATATTCATGTTGATGCAGCTGGAAAAAAAGGAGACAATAACGCAGAGCTCTCAGAGGGTGAGAATGGGTCATGGTTTTGGAAGTAGCTGCTATAACACTAAGCCTGTGCCTACATGCCTCTCTCCGCATGGTCTTTACGTTTGTACTCTCTGCTTGCTTTGAGGGTTTCCATGACTCTAAGCTGTCTAGGAAATCCTTGTTCTCTCTGCAATGATGCATCTCTGCATCCTGCTAGCCAAACACTAGTTGCTTCTAAACTAGAGCTTAAGCTGTTTCTGGGGGGTCTAGGTTTGTATTATTCTGAAAATGCAGGTGAAGAAGCAGCAAGCTCCAGGATAATACCAAGGGGAAAAACTTATACAAACCTCCAAACGTTGAGCATAATGCCTGGGTTTCCATGAGGGTATATTCTTGTCCTGCAGGTTGGCTCGTGGGCCTGATCTTTCATATGGTCTTCTTTGCTGTGTGTCTACTAAAAAAGAAGCACTTCCTTTCTGGGGAGGAAAAAAGTGGAGGATAAAGGAGCTGGACGTTCTTCTTACCCCTGCTAGCATATGAGGAAGTCTTCTTTCCTCACCATAATATTCAAGCTCACCACTGCATCTTTTGCTGTGTAGCTGTAGGGAAGACATTACCTCTGTAGTAGGAGGTGGCAGTGAATCTTACTAGGGCCTGTGAAGGTTATTTTCCTGACAAAGCAGCCGTGGAAGCACTGGAGCTGTCTGTAGGCTCCGAAAGACAATGCTGCAGTGATCACTTTTCGTTTCCCTTCTCAACTGCCAGTGACAGAAATCAAGTGCTGCCTTCTGTCCCTCTTATTCTTTTACAACTGCACTCCCTTGTGTAGTCTGTGCTGATTCCTTCTCCTTTTCTACAATCATTGGCCTCTCAGAATGAGGCAGATGTAACACTAAAATTGTCAGGAGACAGATGAAGGCTGGGAGATTTTTTTTTCTTTCTTTCTTTCAGGGAGATAATTAGGAAAAGATTCTCCGGGAGGAAGAAGATCTTTCCATCATTACTTTTATCTCTAGGCAGCTACTCTAATCTCTCCAGGGATACAGTGCTTTCAAGCATCATATTCTCTCTCTTTTTTTTTTAATGCTTTAATCTTTATGTAGTTCACCCACTTCTGCTACTAAGCAGCAAGTCGGAGAGAAATGGTGTTTTCATGCGCATATGTGTTTGTTTGTGTATGTGCTTGAATGAGCACGCATGCGCATTTGACTTTGAGTTCAATTAAATGTACTTTAGTTCTGATCGATGTGTCCACAGGGAATGTATCTCTAGGGATATGCTGAGACTATTTGCAAGAATTATTAATCAGCAGCTTCTTGGTTAAAGATAAGAAAAAAAAATATGGCCAAACCAAAATACCAGAGGGTCCGAAGTTAGGAACTCCATATATTTTGTTTGTAATGGATGATAATAATGGAACTGCAAAGTAGAGATGTCCCCTGAAGAAGGAGAGCATCAAGTTGGCTTGTTCTCGTCTGCTGTGGTGTGGCAAAATGTGGGAAGCTGCTTTTCTGAGCCAGTGAGTGTAGGGCTTCTTCTGTTGGCTGCCTCTTTCCAAAATCAAAGGCCCGTCACAGCTTTATTGGGCTAACGCATACCAGTTCTCTAGATACTAGTACAAGAGGGAGATCTATGGATATCTTCAAATTGGTCATTCTTTACTTCCCATATTGAATGGCCAGACATCTGTAAATAAAGGTGGTTCTTTAGCACAGGTTGAGACCAAGGGTTGAATTCACACCTCTGGATCTGCAACTATTTCTTTCTTATTTGCCACTAAAGACAAATTGAAACTCTCTTAGCCCTTTGCCAATTACAATGAAATACATTAAATAAGTATTGTTTAACGCACATCACTGTTTTGTGGTGGCTAGCGTACTCCTTAGCTGAGAAATGGAAATGTAACTGCTCATTATGAGATTTTAAAATATATACACATATGTAAAAGTTTTTCTTTTTTTTAATAATGCCAATCGACTGTTAGTCTTTGCTTTTTGCCAGTGCCAACAGAAAGACCCCAAAACCAGCCAAAGGAGAAAGTGGGCACAGGGCTTGTACTTTTGCCTGCTTTGAGATGGTCTCCATCCCTGGCCATAGAAGAGTACACTACTGATTGACTCTTCTTCAGGTGGAGGGGATCCTCAAATTCTCTCTTTTCCTGTACGTGGCCTTCCCCACTGCATCTCAAATTAGGCTGACCCAGGTTCCTCTGTCAGTTTTGGGACCCTGTCACCCTCCCTGTGGTGACAGGCCCTGGTGGTGCTCAGCTTGTAGGGCATTCAGCTGCCCTGCAGCTCATCTACCCTCTGAGATGAAGCAGCAGGATGGAAAAAATTGGATAAAACTGTCCTGCATGTCAGCTGTAGCCCAAGGGCTGGATGCTGCTCTGCGTGAAAGCCTTTGTAGTACGTGACCTTGGGCACTATCAAAGGACCCAGGTGAGGAACTTGGTGTGTGTTGAGGCCTGCTCTGCAGCCTGTCCTGGGAGGCAAGACGGTCTTGGCTTGCTGGAGGAGCTCTCAAGAGGCCCATAGTGATGTCAAAGCTGTGTTTCCCTAGGATTGGAGTCTGGCCACATTGCTCTTAGCTCAGGGAAGGCAGGTGAGGTGCTGATGTGGATCAGTGTCCCTGATGTATGGGAACAGATAGAAAGTAGTCTGGCCCTTGATTCAGTTCTCAACTGCTTCAGAGGAAACAGCAAACTACTTTGTG